TACCCTGCCCCTATAGGGCTGTATGGCACTACATGCTATGGAAGAAAAGAGGACTCTGGAAACGCTCTGGTCAGGAGGATGACCTCTGTGACTTTCTGCTGGTGGCTGTCTCTGAGGCAGCTGTTAAAGATAAAAGGTCTGTGCCACCAAGCTGGTCCAGAAACCTTCATCTGTCCATGAGCTGGGTAAACCTGCAGAACAAAACACACAGTGCTGATTGGTGACCTTCAGCTTCAGCTGCATTCTCTGTCCAGCTTCACTACCAGGCCGTGAATGCCACTGATGTTTCAAGGTCATGTCATCTGAAGTGAATGAAACAAACTGAAATAAAACTCTCCCAGGATGCCCATAACGTGCTGTTTCCTAGTCAATGGTGTGTTTGAAGGCCAATCCCTTCAGACTTAAATCTTTCCCTGTTTGGGCACCTGACTCTTCAGTAAGAGTTGAATGTGGATGGTACCACACTGTGCCAAACTGTGCAGTGAGCAAGAGGCAGGGTGTGCGTGGGCAATCTTTCCTCTTTCAAAACACCTTTCTGCAACAAAACAAACACAGAAAAACAAAGGCAGAAATGTAGAGAGGAAAGCAACTTACAAACCTGATTTCAGGACCAGTGAATGTGCTTTCAAATCTAAGATGAATTCAGGTTGACTGACCAACTATGTATAGACCCAGGCACATGGAGCATAGAAAAGAACGAATTTATTTATAAAGCTTGCCCTGTTCCCCATTTGTAAGACACCATGAAAGGAAAGGCACTACCCAGCACAACAGTAAGGTAAATTCCAGCCCACAAAAATCAAAAGGAATTTGATGTTTCCAAGCATCCAGAGCTATCACAAAGGCAAGTTATGCCTGTCCATTCAACATGGAGTGCCATGAAGGTGAGGTATTCCATTTACACTGCTACATAAACAGGGCAGAACTTGGCCTTGGCCCCTAGGACAAACAGCCCTGACTGGCTCCCACCCATATATGTGCATACCGACCCTGAGCAAATTCAGCTTGCTGAGAGCTAGCCAGAGCAGTCCCATGCAGGGCTGGGAAGCTTGTGAGCTGCCAGCTCTGCAGGTCAGCACAGCAAGCCTGAGTTTGGTCCACTTTTATTTAGCAGGGGAAAGCATGCTTAAAGAGAGTCCACCCTCTGGAGATTCCTGCTGAGCAGCAAATCCAACAGCAGGATGCCGCAGGGTCCCAAAAGCTGCTTAGCAAAAGCCAAGCTCTGAGGTTCAGTCTTCCCAGCTGACTCCCGCATTGCCGCTGGTGCAGTGCAACACGGTGTACACAAGAGATGTTCTTCCATGGCAGCAGCCACCGGGAGTGTGTTGCTGGGAGAGCAGCTTCTTACCCTGACACGCTGAGAGTTGAACTGGAAAGCTTGAACCCAAGAGTGCAGAGTAGGTGGGTTGGTTAGAGCTGGGTTCAAATACAGGTTAGGTCTCAGCTGGTAGCTGGCAGCTCTCCTCTGGGCACTGAGGGTGACAGCTAAGCAGGACTTGTGGCTAAGATGGGCTCAACAAGCACTTTGGGAGGATGGGAAAGGGAGGCATTGTCTCAGCAGTATTTGAAGTTACACTTCAGTTCTCACATAGTAATGTTATTAAAATAGCTATTTTAACATAGCTAAATCTCTAGGAAACAGTCAGCTTTGCAGGCTGCCCGAATAGTTCAGGCATACATCCATTTTACCCCTTTTGTTTTACATGCTCATTGATTCCACATGTATACAAACACTTATTTTCTTTGCAGCTTTTGATGGGAGAAGGGCGAAGGATAGATGTAATTAAACAAGATCTAGTCTGTCCTGCTAGCTGGTGTTTTAACAGATCAGCAAGTTAAAGCGTTAGGTCTTATTTAACAGCACAAGGATGTGATAAGTGCAACGTCGTTTAGTACTGTTGAATTGCTTCTGTGGAGGTACACAATGAACACCACAGCTTCTCAGCTGTGTATGAAAATCATGGTGCATTCCTACAACATTACAGCACTTCACGAGCAGAGGCCTGATAACAAGTATGAACTGGGAGAGAAGTGGCTGGAGAGCAGCCCTGCAGTAAGGGAGCTGCAGATGCTGGTCGGTATCAGGCTCAAAAGGACTCAGCAGTGTGCCCTGGCGACAGGGAGGGTGAACCGCATCCTGCGGTGCATCAGACACAGTATCACCCACCAGTCAAGAGAGGTGATTATCCCGCTGTATTGAGCACTTGTGCAGCCTCACCTGGGGCACTTTGTGCAGTCCCGGGCCCCACAAGGTAAGGCTGTGAAGGTCCTTGAATGCATCCAGAGAAGGACAACAAAGCCAGAGACAGAGCTGGAAGGAATGTCCTGTGAGGAGCGGCTGGGAACTTCAGTCTTCTCTAGCTGGAGGAGAGGAGGCTGAGAGGCAACCTCATTGCTCTCTACAGCTCCCCGAGGAGGCTACATGAGAGATGGAGGTGCTGAGCTCTTCTCCTTGTTATCCACTGACAAGATGCATGGGAATGGTTCAAAGCTGCACCAGTGGAGGTTTAGACTGGACATTAGGAAGCATTCCTTCACTAACAGCGTGGTCAAACACTGAACAGGCTTCCTAGAGAGGTCCTTGATGCCCCAAGCCCATCAGTGTTTAAGAAGCACTTGGACAATGCCCTTAACTTCCAGTCAGCCCTAAACTGGTCAGGCAGTTGGAGTAGATGATTGTTGTAGATCACTTCCAACTGAAACATCATAGACCAATCTAGTTTAGTCTACCTTGAAGAGCAAGGTAGGAGATCCCATGCAGAGCAGCATCAGAGACGCCACCATCAGCTCTCAGCCCCGAGCCAAGCTGGCTCCATCCCCGCTTTGGGGGAATCAACACCACACAGGTGTGTGTTGAAAGCACAGCAGGGCCCACGCTGGCCTGCAGCCCCTGAGCTGCCCCCTCCGTCCCTCACTCCGCTGCAAAATCAGCTTCAGAGGATGGGAGTGCTTTTCTGCCTCTTTCAATGCAGAATGCATCATTCCCCTGCTGTCAGCTGGGGAGATTTTTGGAGAGTGAGATAGTTGTGTTCCCATTTGACACTGGCTAATATTGCTATGCCAGATATGTGGATCAGTTCAGGACTGCTATATTCCTCCATGTAATTAGATGTTTCTTGTCCCACAGGCAGTTTTATCAGAAACAATCTACACATACCAGAGGATGCAGAATCACTCTGGCACTCTTAGTGAAATAAATGGAGAACTAAATCTCTTGTAATGATGAAAATCTACGAAACAGTCCCAACGCAGCAGATGGATATAACATCTGGCTACCAGAAACCTACCCTGAACACATGAAAAATGAAACTTAAAACTGCACTTGTATGACATACAGTTGTTTCTTTGAAAGGAGAAAGTATCAGTGGGAAATGCTTCCTTTTACTAGTAGCATTTTCCTTAGGAACTTATTTAGGATGTGGTGTACGTTTTCAGATATACTTGTATCAGCTCTTGATGTTAAAACATCAGTTTAGTTCTGAAATGGTAGAAATAAAGAATTTTTCCAACTGAGTAGCAGCAGTTAAAGATTAAACATTTAAAAGAGTCCTAGGGTTCTCTCTCCAGTGGATAGGTTTTGTATATCAGAAGCAGAAACTGCATAAGCACCTGTTAGATACACACAGGTCAGAGAAGCAGTGATACAGTACCAATACCCAAACTCACAGGTTCAAGGCTGAAATCTGCCGTGGACACCAACTAAAAGATTCCTTCTAATGGCAAGAGCTTTGAAAGAGGTTCATTTATTCACAAGGAGGGAAGAGCTGCAACAGCTGTAGGGGCAATGGGCAGCCTTAATGCCAACAAGGCAGGCTAGGATACATCCACCAAAAGGCTTTTAAAATTAGTTTAAAGCATCCTTCAGCTGAGCAGGTACCTGACAGAGTCCTGCAAAGGGAGTCAGGCAGCACAGCAGAAAGCAGGAAGTCAGGAGACCAACTTGAACACAATAAAAAAGTTGAGAATACTGATCCATGAGGACAAATGGATAAATGATCAAGTAATTCCTAAGGATGGAGATTTTACTCAGTTACAAGAGCCTTCATTCATCCCTGACAAAGTTCTCTACATACATCCAATTCAAAAAGTTATACGTGAGGTTATTTCTTCTCTGGATCAGCTTTTTTTGGATCAGCCTCTATTTCATAGTACACAGTTCAATCCTCTACCTTACCTGCCTTTACAATAAACCAAATAAGAATCTACACAGAGGTGTCTACAGCTACAAACTCTGTGACAGATGAAAGAAGGTCCTTTCTTCCACTAACCTTTCCTTTTGGGACAGAACGTATGTAGTTCCTTATGTCTGTAAGAAACAAAGCACTGTTTTAACTAATTACTGGTTATTTATACAACCAGGAAAATGAACAAACTCTGCATCCTATGACTTGGAACAATCAAACCCACAGAATAAATAAATAAGGTTTTGTTTTGTGGTTTAAGTTAGCAGCACATGTGTGTGGAAACACCTACCGAGATAGCTAGGTAATTGTGAATACAGAAGGTCTGGCCAGTAGCTAAAATAGAGAGGAATAAAGTTTAAGATTATACAACATCCAATTCAAGATTTTTTAATCCAGTTTATTAAATATTGCTTTTTGGGGACATGTTTACAACAAGCCCAAATAAATTGTTTAAGGATTCAAAGCAGTCATATTAAAATACAGCTTCAATATAAAGTTTGTCACAGTTTTACAGTATTCAAAAATGACAGACCTGCCTTAAAAAAAGACTATTACACCAAAACATAAGAAAAAACAGAAAAACAAACAAGTTTGGCATTTTCATAATCTTTATAGTATAAAACAGAATATTAAATCTATTACCAGCAAGCTGATCCTTCAACCTATTACCTAGTCTGAAGTGTCTCCTGTTAAAACACACTATACAACAGCACTATACAAAAGTCATGGTGATACTCATTTGATGAAAGTGCATCCCTGAAAGTTTGCCAGTTTATTATAGTTAGCTCTTAAAAAAAAATAAAATAAAACGTCCTCTTTTAACTGAAGGCTTTATTTTTTATTTTTTATTATTTTTTGCGGTTTTGTCTCTCAGCCTTCTTTTAAAAGTGTCTACGGACGCCCACCAGGGGGCAGCGTAAGATTAACCATCAAATCACGAACGGCCGCAAATATTGTGCATTCACCTGGAACAGGGAAAAGAAACAGGTTAGCATCACTCCACACACAGGCCTTCACCCCAACAAGCAGGATCTGCAATGATTTTAAGGGATATAGCTTCGTCTTTCCCAGCAGGACAGCTCTTGCTGGTCATGAAATTGCAAGAAGCTTTTAACTTTTAATCACTTTTGAATATCAGATTGAGTCTATACTGGGATTTATCGTATGCGGCACTACAATGCGTATTTTTCTGCATGCTATTAATTAAAATTACATACACCTTCTAAAGAAAAAGAAACACTTTTCCAAGTCCTATTTGTATTGATTAAGAGCAGAAAGTAAACATTTCAAATGACTCAAATCTGAAACAGCTGGAAGATGTTTTCTGTCCTAAGCCTAGTTTTGGAAACATTTCTAATTCCAAGACTGGGCAAAAGTCAGAAGACTGTTTCTTTCTACCAAATTATTCTGGCTTTACCCTTGACATCCAAATGCAAAATAAAATACAAACGGACTTTTGTTTCCAACAGCTGAGATCCAATACAGAGAGGAAAACCCAGCCACAGCTGTCTCATGTTTTGAATACCAGTATTTTTTTTGACAAAAACAGACATTCTGAAATAGCTTAAAAAAAGTTAAAACCAATAGAATCAAGAGGTTTTAATTAGAACAATAAAAGGTGAAGTATTAGACAGGTGTGACTTTCATCTACTGTTTCCTGCTAAGAGAATACAATTAATAGCTTCTATCATACCCTGGTCACTGTGGGCTGAGTTTTTCCTGCACAGGTCAAGAAACAGCAATGAGGAGACACTGAATTTTATTGCTGAAGGAGCAACAGTGTGAGCAAAGAGATAGGAGCAGAGCCTGTTGGGATGCGTTAATCCTAACTGCCAAACTAGGGATTCCCAAGATAATTTTGGACAAGTCATTATCATACCCAAGCTACACATCTGGGTTAAATACCATCCACTGCATCACTGAAAATCAGACAATGAAAAATGCTTAGTCATGAAGTGCTTTAAGAAACATCACAAGACCCTTGAGCTCCTCTCTTAAGGGTCACCTTCAGCATCTGCAGGGATTTTAATTTCCTTACCAGATTGATGTCCACTGCGTAACACAGCTTGTAGACTTACAGCTCAAGTTTAACCCTATTATTTCAGAGCACTGATTCTATCTCAGTCCATATCATTATTTCCCCCAAATAAAATATTTTTTCCCATGGAGGCATAGGTAAAGTGATCTCAGAAAGCCAGTGCACTCACAATGAATCAACGTTTTACTGTTAAACACAGCAGAATGTGTTTGCCCACAGATCTGAAAAGAAAACTCTTCCAGAAGAACTTACTTTTCAGGCACTACCATTTTATTAAGAGGAAAATTAAGCTGAATACAAAATACTTTCTCACAAAGAGAGAAAGGTAAAAAGGATACAGCCAAAATGAGGCAACACTGATTACGGGTTACAATGAAAGTGCCAGTAATATACGTGCATGATGGGAAGCCCTGGTCCTTTCTTACTCAAACAGTGCAAAGTTCACTTAACCAAGCAAAACGCAATGAGTGCAACAGAAGAGCTAACACAGGTAGGAAAATCCTGGGTACAGCACAATAGCATCAGAAGAGAAAGGATATGCATCTGGGATCTCCCATGTACAGAAGTCTCCCAACTATCTACATTCATCTGCTGTCTCCAATCCTCTTTCAATGGCAAAGAAAAGAAGGTATCTTGTTCTCTTTTAGCAGATATAATAATACAAGTTTTGACAGTAAGAACACAGGAAAATGCATTTCAAGTGTCCTCAGGGAAGATACTCTTGGCTGGGTGGTGGTGTTGGAAATAAATTAAAAAATCCATACAGACTAGTTCTTTCTTTTAGAAGTCAGAGGAACGACTACTAGAGAAGTCTTCTGCTCAGTTAGCTACATTCTTCTTTGCCTGGATAAGGTCCCACTTGTGGCCACAAGCTCTTTAGATACGCTTTTCTTTCCTTGTCTGTTCTCTGCTCCCTGTACCACAATCCCAAACTACTTCAAAACATGTGACAAACAAAAATTGTCTGTCCTGATCTCTATAACAATCATCAGACTACATCTCACTGGGTTACTCAAGAGCAGCTTTGGCAATTACTCCCTATGCTGCAGCATTTTGTGGAGGATTTACCTTAAAACACAACTTAGTGCAATAACAAACAGCAAATCCAGTATCTACCCTTCCCCACGGCAGGGGAACTCGGTGGGGAAGCACCTTCCAAATGAAACACCTGAAGTTTAGTTAACTTATCTCAACACAAAAGTGCTACAAAAACAACAGTTCTGTACCACATACAGAACTCCTACAGGTGAGCTCACATATTCTCAAGTCTACTTTCTCTCCTATTTACCCACACTACTACTATATGTTAAACAGAAAATGTGTGTTAATTTAAATCTTTTCACAATTTTAAGAAATTTACGCATATCCACACCAACTTGAGATGAACATTGCTCATGTTCTAGCAATCGAAATAAACCATCAAGCATAGTTAAAATTACTGCATAACAACGAGATGAGTAATTATACAGAAATAGAATTCAGCCTCTGGATTCACAACTTCTATCTGTTCACTGGATTATTGGAAAAAGATTTTGTTCATCAGCATGTAACTACAGCAGAACTGAAAGTTACTGTTCTTATGAGCTATCTGTGTATTAACAGACCCCAAGCCACTGCTAACAGACAACATGCTGCCCAAAGAACCTGCTATTGTTGTTCAATGTTTCAGATACTACAAAAAAAACAAAACCCATGACAAACAAGAGGGAAATCAAAGCACAACATTGCTCACAGTGCATTACCTAGGGGCCAATGAACATTCAGAACAACCTCTTTAGCTCAAACACTTCACAGCACGTTTGGTGGACAAAACTGTATGCGCCTCTGTTAGTGCACACACCGACAAAGGTGTATACAATCACTCCATTTACTTTTTAATCATTCACAGCACATGGACAAGTTCCAATAACTTCTTTAACATCCCTTTATATTCTACTGTTAAGCTCAGTAACTTAAGAATTGGCCATGAAAACTAATACTTGACCATAGCATATTTCTTGTGACTCATTCTGGGCCCATTTGTTAAAAAGCGTGACTCCTGCTGTGCAGCAAGAGTTGGGCCAACAAGAGATGCATTTATCACTCAGGCAGAACAGCAAAATTCAGCCTACATCATCAGTGTAACCTTCTGATGTGTTGCCAGCACTTGCTATTAAGTTACATATTGCCTGTCACATCAGGAGTTTATAATCACTAAAGAAATATGATAGAAACCAAGAAGAATTCAGACTTAAGAGAGGTTTAGTTTGACACTGGAGATTTGTCACAGATGCCTGGGTGAAGAGAATGTATCTACTGGACATGTACAGTACCTGCTCGTGGCGAATTCAGTTCAGCAAACCTCTTTAGAATATTGCTAACCATCATTGGAGCAGCAACAGAAGAGTTCTGCTGCCTGGGAATGTCAGCCTGTTGCGTTGTACCCGAAGCCATATCATAAATAATTGGGACAATAATACTAACAGCTTCCTGTGGGACTGTTGTTTTCTGTGTTAGCTGTAGCTGTGGGAAAGAATCAAAAAGTGTGTTAAACCGAATGACCACATACTCCAGTGCAACTTCTGATACAGTTAAACACTCTAGGCCTACAGACAGCATGCACTTCCACCCCCTCAGTTTTCAGACATTGATTCTGTAACAAGAAAGTTATCAATCAGGTGTAGGCTATTTTCTTCTCAAAAGCACCCTACAGTGAGTACTGCCTCAGAGATGGCACTAAGGTAGATCTGTTCTAAACATCTCGTTCTTCCTGTCTTTTCCTATCACTGCAAATCTGTGCATCACTTAATCTGTGTGGTTAGAGCCTCAAACAAGAAAAACATATCCAGCAGTTGAACATTTGAAGGTACCCGCAGCCCAGAGGGAACTGAAGTTTATATACTGTCAACATCTCTCCAAGAACACAAAACATGAAGAGTAGTTGTGCTTTTATAGGAGGGAGAATTGGAATACTAACTGAACTCAAAAAAGAGATGCTTCCAAATGGCAAACCATTTTTAGCTATTGCAGTTGTCAGACATAGCATGTTTATGTTTGGCTACTAACCCATGATGATTTCAAAGACACGCAGCCCACAGAATTTTAAAACACATAGCTCTACTTACAAAAAACAACATTTTGGATTTCAGCACAACAGCAGGTGTTCCTGGAGGAGCAATTGGTGGTGCACTGGGAGGAATTGTTAAACAAAACTGCACATTCCATTTCAGCTGACTTGCCTGGTCAGGAAACTGTTAAGAAACAGCAGCACAGAGAAAGACCAGCAAAGGTCTCACATCAGTGACATACATGGCGATGAACTAGGGCAGTGTTAGAAAGTAGAATGTGTCCCTCCAGCTAAACTTGCAGATGCTGCCAAGTTTCAGAATGACTCGGAAAAAACTGAGCATAGGGTAAACAAGAATACAATCAGAAAGATTCCAGCCAGCTTATGTATGTGCCTATCACGCAGTCATGTGCCTGAGGTTTCTCAAAATCATCAGTTTAAAGGAGAAATTCTGAGAGTTTCCAGGAAGGCTAGTAGTGAAACTGAAACTTCTTTATTAACACCAAATAACATATATATAAATTTAGAGTAATGTATGTGTTTATAGATAAAGATACTGCACCTTTTATTTTAAAATATATTAACCAAAGTTGGGTGAACTAAATAGAGGAGTTAACTTACCAGCTCAAGTTTCATTATGTGTACGCAGTCCCTGAGGATATGCGTTGGAGCCCCTAGTAATTTTGTGAAGGCTATTAGGGTGTTTGCTTTAAAAGGTGGTCCTGCAACCTAAAGAAAGACACTATTTAGTACTGCCTATTTAGATAATAGCTGTATCATTTGATATGGTAACCAGCATGCACAGCTGTTCATTTTATATTCTGCAGGCCTTACACATGGTCAATGAAAATCAACAGTACCACTCAAAACGGCACCAGAGATTAAAAGTAATGCACATAAATTGAAACAGTTATGATTTGAGTACATACCCTTGTTTCAAAGAACTTCTCCAATACTTGTAACTCCTCAGATTTCCACTGTCCTGTGTTTTCAGGTGTTACTTTCAGTTGCAAGGTCTGATTGGTTTTGGGATTGAGAGCAACCCTGCACTTCAGTGCCTCTGTCTTAAACATAATTACACCTGGTTCATTGGAGTTTATTAACTGTAGCTGCATAAAAGGAAGCATCACATTTTATCAGTAATTCGTAAATAGCATGTACATGCACACATTCATGTCCAAGACTGTAGTGATCAATCTGCCCTCTTTACAGAGAGAAACAGGTGATAGTTGTATACAGGCAAAATTGCCTTGAGAACGAAGTTTATGCAAGATTTGGCTTCCTTTTCTGTCACTGAATCATTGCCAAAGAAGTGAAGAGGTTCACACTGTCTGTCCCAAATCCTAAAAGCAACATTTATGACTGAGTAGTTCAGTCAGTGTCAACTAGTAGCTAATTTCACTGACACTCCTGCTAAGTAATGTCATCCACAGTAACCCTGTGGCTGCTCTAGTTAACTCCCAATGGACATACAGCAAATACTTATTATATATGAAGCATTTCAGTTTGTGCCTGATTTGAAAGACACAGAGTACAGAAGCATGAAGAACAGCTGTGAAATCATACTCACAGTTCAATATTAAAACAACCTAAATCATACCGTTTCCTGTTGTATGATCCTCTGAAGATGCCTCCTCATAATAACTGATCCAAGGAATCGCTCAAGAGGGGAGCAAAGATAGCTGCCAGCTAGTCCCGGTACAAGCCCAGGGGTAGGAGAGGGCAATAGCAGAATATTCAAGGCACTGTGGGTGAGGATTGTAGGTATGGATGCAGCCCAAGAGCGCTGAGGTAGTTTACGAGGTGGAGGCATGCTGGTTGGAATAGCTTGGGAACCTATTGACAAGGAAAAGGTACTTGTAGTAAGGAAGTATTTCAGCCATAGCATAAGGTAAGTGTTCATTTTATTTGCCATCACTATACAAGCAATGAGTTCTCTCAGCCAAAGCTTAATCCTTCCTATTTAAGAATTTGGCTGCCTAGTGATATCCAACAGACAGACAAAGAATTAGTGTTTCGACCCTCCACCCATGCAGAGAATCTCAGTAACACAAAAATCCTACTCCTTTTTCCTCTTTCTGCAAAATGCCAGCAGATAGCAGGCTTGTACAACAAACTCAATGAGATGCAAAGATGGCTAAATCAGTCATGCAAAAGCAGCATAACAACTCTGTGATGTGAAAAGTCAGTATCTGGGTAAGCAAATAAGCCTGTCATTGTTTCTATTCCAAAGAATTTTCTCTTAATCACAGAGCTCAGTAGCTTAAGACTCACTTCTGCAATGCACCAAGAGGTATCAATCCTGCTGTATGATTTAATTAGTTTTCCAGTTTGAATTAGGACAGAATTAAGGCTTCATTTCATTAGATATTTAACTGCACAAGGCAGTAAGGGCCGTTAGGCTGATGCACAAAACGATCAAAAAGAACAGAACTAGAAATGTTAAACATTAGTGTTTCACAGTCTTAACACTAATAAAAAAAGCTTACTTGTTCCAGCTCGTGGGGAATGAGAGGCATCTGGGACAGGCGAATGAAGGGAAGGGTTGGCTGGTGACATTCCAGGCATCCGTGCTGCTGGTGATGGACCAGAGACCTGAGGAGATCCTGGCCAGTTCCCTGCACGCTGACTGGGCGACATCATAGTGTATGGTGAGCTTGGGTCTATCGTACCTACAGATGTTACAAAACTATTATTATTTTTTAACAAATTACAAGGTTTTGTAATGTAGAAATCTAAAAAAGGCTTATCAAAATCTGTAAAGCACAGAAGTGATATATATAAAAAAAAGTGATATAAAAAAACCCACAAAATACAGAGTCAAGGTTTTTCTGGTTGTATTTTTTAAAAAGTAAAATATAATTGAATGTTACAGCAAATGGGCCTGTTCAACATGTAACAGGTTCTAAACTAAAAAGAGCTCTTGCCTATAGACCTGAACTTCAACTGCTCCTTAGGCAAATGAAAGCCTCAGCTAGACCATTCCTTATCTATTCAGTATCTTGCAGTTATCTCCTCAGAAGTAGCTTTGATTTTGTACTCTGCTACACAGACTGATCAGAACAAGCTTCTTAAACAGTCTGTTGTACATCTATCTCACTTTCTTCACCCTGACAGTTAAACTGGTGTTCTAAAATTACAGTCTGAATTGTTCATTTATTGTGATCTATGGAACGGTTTCCAATGCACTGTGATTATAACAAACAATTGTTTTGGCAACTTTCCAAAAAAACTTAAAGGTGACAACCAAAAAGCATGTTACTCACATACAGTCAAACCAGCAGGACTCTGGACAATGTTTTCAAAAGGCATTTGAATTTCTAACCTGTTCCAGTAACTTTTCCAGGAAATGTAAGCAGTGAAAACACATTAACTAATCTAACAAGAAACAACGCTGATTAAAAGCTGCAGCCATTGCTCTGCTACAAGACCACATGGAATTTCCCCACCTTAGTAAGCAGGAAAGATGACTGACAGTCAATTTTTAAACTGTTAGGAACACTTTAATGTGCCACGCAGCCACTTTTGATTACTGCTAAGGCTTACACCCACACATATGAAAACAACTACTTAAGCTAATTACAAAACCAAAGTCTGCTCTTAAGGACTTAATTTCAAGAAGCAAATCTGCTCCCTGTCACTAATATATACACGTGCCAGTAAAAAACATGTCAGTAAAAAACTCACCATGTGGGCTGGCAAAGTTAGCTGTCTGTCCCATTGTGATTCCAAGAGAGGAAGGTGAAGGAGTTGGACCAAAGGATGCTGGTGATGGTGCTCTTAAAGCTCCACTAGGTGAGCTTGCAGCATGCAAGTTTCCTAATCAAGACATCATATCACTCAAATTAGAACAGAAAAATGGGAAATGTGTAATTTTTCTTTTCTATCGATTGCCACAGTTATCTCCTTTCTTTTTTGGAGATAGCAAACATGATTCACAAGAATTTAGTTTGCACTCAAAGGCTTTAGTTTGTACATGCATAAGCGTTATATTGTCCAGACTGATTCACTGCTCAAAGGAAACCTTCCAAGATATTTGGCTTCAAGAATGGCATTTCCCCCTGCCCAGCCATTCCTCAAATTTAAGTATTTTCAGCTGTTGTGTGTAACAGCTGGGAGCAGAAAGCTTTGGTGTTGAAAAGCTTTTCTGGAGAAGCATGTATTTAAAATTAACAGCTTTTGATCTGAGCAAGTTGTAAGCTGTAAGAACGAAACAGTCCCAAATATGACACATTTAAAGATGAGTTTCATGGATTTTTTTTTTTGTTTGCTTTAGCTTCAAAATGTAACTTTCCAAAACATGTATGGCAAGACTTCGCTATTTTTCCACAATATAAGGTGCATTCTCTTGGCTAACTCGGAGCCAAACACAGCTCAAATAACAAAAAAGGCATGCACAAAGAGCTGCATTTACATTTCCAGCACCTGATTAGCATATAAACTCTCAGCCACCTTACCTGGTGACTGTGTGTGCATCATAGATGGAGATGGTGTTACTGTGTTGTGATAGGAGGTGGGAGGTGAAGTAAGAGGGTATGCTCCTGATGCTCCTGCCTGTTTTGCAAATGGCTGAAATTGTCAACACAGAACAACAAAAATTTTGATCATTTTGTACTACAACTAAAGTTAAGTACGTGCACACTAATGCTAATGAGAGTTTGGTCCCCACCTATGAAATCTTACAGGTCCATCAACATAGTAGCTTTATTCTCTACACCACCTTGTTCAGTGCTCACTATTTTTGCCAGTGAATTTTTGCAGTTTCTCCTCAAGACATAACACCTCTAACACCTCACTTCTTTTATCTGCCACCCCATAACAGCAAAGCCTCCTGACTCCCCCTCCCATCTTTTATTTTAAACAGTCATTTTCCCTCCCCTCAGTCCTTTTCTCCTAAAGCAACAAGTCTCATGTGACCTTCCAAAGCTGCTGCTCATATGCTATGGGCTATTTACACTGGAATGAGAAATAGCAAAATAAATTAATACGTTTTGCCACAAGCAGAATTCCACAGCAGAGCAGTTTTATAGTCTCCCTTTCTGTTTTTTACTCCTAATCTTTTTAGAACTGAAGTTCTTAGAAACCTGCAGTTGTGGAAGACAATAAACATTGCTTATTTTGGCTGGAGGGTACCTGTTGTTGTGGTTGCTGCAGTGGCTGCTGGGGTTGAAGCTGCGATATCAAAGAATCCATCATGTCTCCTCCAATAGGAGAAGGCGGGTTATCATCTTCATTTACAGATCGTCTTCGTGCATCCTGATTGCTGTCAACAAACATGTTCAGGAATGTCTGCAGAAAAATCACTTTTGTTAGCAACTCCCCATTTAAATGTTATTACATAAATGAGCAAAGTATTTGATGAGCTTTAATACTATCTTTTATCAGCTACAGCATGTAAGAAACAGGCAGGTCCCTAGAACTAACTACTAGGGGGCATTCATTATATGCAGTATGAATAGTTTACAAAATAGTTCAGTTCATAAACAGAGCTTCTCAGTGGATATTTAAACTTAATTCCCTTACTCTTTTAATTAAGGGGCCATCTTGCATCACCACCAACCAAGACACCTTGCTCATTAATATGAATTATCTCTAGTCATATACCAACGTTTTTTTTTTTTCCTGAAAAATAAAGAAAAGCCTACCCCCAAAAATAGCTGTTTCAGAACAACTCAGCAGTATCCAGAACCTACTGAGCTTTTGTATCAAACCTACAACTGCCCTGTTTGGGTAAGAACGTCCAGGGTGCCTCCTCCATAGTGTTCTGTTGTATCCAGAGGAATTTCCCCATCCTCCTGAAATATTTCTGCCTTTACTTTCCCAATTTAATTCACTTATGCTTTCCACTGGTATCTATAATCCCCCTCCTCTTCCCATTAACCTTCCATTTGGAATTCATCAAAAAGCTGTTTAAGATCAGCTACATGCATTATCAGAGAATGAATATTCAGTTGCAACTGTCAGAAAAAAAAAAACTAGCAAACTGTACTGTTTCACAATGGGTGCCACTTTCCAATAGTCCTGTAAAACCAGCACTGTTACAAGCTGTCCCCAGTTAAGGTATTCTGTCAATGGGATTTTTTTCAGGAGAAGCAAACCAGTAGTGTATTCAGAAGAAAAGCCACAGGCTCCTGCCACACAATGACAGAAGCTATTTTAAAAGAGAAGTTTCTGTCTAGGACTGCAGCTCTTCACAAAAAAAAAAAGTTCCACAAAGCTCTTCACATCAGACCCATACTTCCTGTTGGAAGCTCATTTGCTTACAATATGCCAGAAAATACAGAAACGGTCACCTTTAACCCAGGCGCAGGGTAAAATCCTTCAACTATTTTGCTGTTGTCAAAGAGACTGTATGCCCCATCACGTATCGCCACAACACCACGGCTCCGGCAGTAGATGTCGATGCAGTACATATTCCTAAACGCCAGCCTGATATGCGTGGGTGACTGTGGCAGAATGGAGAAACACTGATAGGCAGTGTTGGTGCGCTGAGTCAAACCCAGCATGGGCACAGTTGGAAGTTTGTTGATGGCATTTAATGGAGCCTGAGTGTCAAACAAAACCTGAGAGAGAACAGACATTGAGAGATCAAGCAGCTTACTTTTGAGTAAAGGTCAGGGAAAATGGAGACGTGGGGGGGGAATACATCTTTCCCACGCCACCTTCTGCAAGTGAGATCCATAAACAGTAACACACACATGTAATTTCAAAGAGAACAGTTTAATCTGAATTCAGCTCTGAATTATATTGCACTTTGATTGAAACAAGTTTTAAAACCTTACCTGTAACAACTGCATCACATTTGGTGTTTTATTAAACATCTCCTGGAGCTGGTGCAGAATCGTGTTGTGACAGTTACTGCAACCTGAGTTTGGGCCAACAGTTCCCAGTGAAATGTGGAATTTCTGGAGTATGAAATTCCACTGAATGCTGATCTGCAATATTAAGAACATAAAATGGTCTTGGAAACTAGAACAATTATGAGGTTGTAACAAGAAAGCTGGTCTGCTTTAATTTTTTTCCTCCCATTTTTCATCAAACCTCAACAGATTCTTAATTTACCTTCCTCAAAAGTTGCTGAAGTTATGGGGAAAAAAATAGTGCTGTTAGCTTTAACAACCATTTAGCTAGCTGGATTGCTGGCAACCACAAAACTGGAGAACTATTTTAGCAAGTCAAACAGAAAGAAAAAAAGCCTTTTCTGCCACAGGCAAGATACAGAAAATTAAACTTGAGAGATTCATGCTGCAGAGAACTGATTAATGAGCTGCTGGGAGCGGACAGGTTTTCTCAGTCATATCACACAAAAATCAGAACTAGACATGCTAACATGTAAGGAAGTCACACGCAGAATCCACACTGCTACTCTAGTTACTTATTAACTGTACCAGTAAAATGCACACAGAAATACTCTTAAAAATTCAGCTTAGAATGTGAACACAAAAACCTTCCAGGAAGCAAATTTCAGGTGCATCAGCTACTTTGCATCATTTGCACACAAAAATATATTCTCAGTCTAACACATCTGCATTTACTTCCTCCTCTTCCTTGCCATTCAATGCAAGGGTGTGAGCAAGTAGTCAGTTAATTACAAAGTAATTAATAAGCTGTAAATTCAAATACTACAGAGTAAGCTAGAGTTCTAAACAAGAGAACAGCACCACTACAAAATAATGAAGGATCTTCTCTTTTGAAAGCAAAATACTACATTTAAAAGTCAAAGGACTTCTAAAGCAGAATTAGGCACTCAGCTTATATATATCCATATATCCCAGTACAGCAGTGACCAGCAGCAACACCATAAATTTATCAGAAAAGGGCTGCTACACCAGCTTTCATCAATCAGGGGCACACAACTGTCCTTCCCACAATTTAAAGCATCTTACACAAACCCTCAAAAATTCTGAACATGTTGTAACCTAGCAAATTAGCAAGCTGGCACACTCTCCTGCTCTCTTCTACATTCATCAATATTAATTCCACAGTCGCATATTACAAAGACATATTTTGCAGCAGAATTCTGAGAACTCTAGCCCTACCCATTGTGTTTTCACACATACATTTTAAGTGCACTTAAGAGTTACTTACTGAGCTCCCCTTGGTAGTTCCATAACAAAGGATAAGTTTTCGGTAATTGTAGATACGAACTTCTGAAAACAGGTTTAAGTGGTTGGGTATGTCTTTGAAGAAAGGAGGCAAAAGACAATGAGAAAACCACAGTAATCTGTAAACACATAATTTTCATAAACAGAAGGTGATTTCTGTACCTGGGAGGGACCGTGCAAACTCCAGGACACATTCATACAGCCGAGCGATACTGTTCCAGTCATTAAGGAATGTCTCAACAACTTTGCGACCTCCAACTGGTTCAGACAACTGGTTTTCATACGTCAGGTAAACATGACGAGTTGGTCCTACAGTGTGAGGAGATCGTAAATACTGATTAAACTTGAGATTCCTAAACTGTGGTTTATAGTCTACGAGTGAACTGCAGCAAGTGACCAAGAAGTATATTTAAATAATGAAAGTGCATCAACTCAGCAGTCAAAATTTTTTTTTTCAGGTACATTGTGTTTTATTAGAAATCTTAGGAGCAGACAGTTGTCCAGTAACTCCAAAACATTACTGGAACAGACAACGTAAACTACAAAGAAGCAAAATGTACCAGTTTTCCTAAATAAAACTTGCCTTGCTCCCGAGATGAAGTGCTATTAAGTGGACAGTTTGCAAACACCAGCTCAGCCACCCATGTGCGATTATTTCTACCTTGTAATCGGAAAGTGCAATCAAGAAGAGATCGGTCGAGAGCCTTCTGTGTTTCCTCGTTTACACCTTTACAGGGAGGAATTCTATTTATGATTAAAAAAAAAAGCGCAATTAGACACAGTACAGTTCCAAAACTAAAAATACTACCCTCCAACATTTCCTGAAGGACTTCCAAGTCTGGACATGAGAGAATGAACAAATCAACAGCAAAGACGGCTAGACTGCATAGTGAGATATCCTATTCCTCTTCAATGACTGCAATAAGCGTGTTAGGAAAGCACTCTGAGTTAAGACCAGTTTTTATATGGATCTCTTGAATTGCCCTTATCTCCTGGTGAAGTAAAAGCACAACAATATAAAGCTTTTAAACAGAAAAACAAGACAAAAAAGATGAAAAGTGCACCCTCAGCAAATTCGCCAATGACACCAAGCTGTGTGGTTTGGTTGATATACTGGAAGGAAGGAATGCCATCCAGAGGGACCTTGACATGCTTGTGAGGTGGGCAGATGCCAACCTTAGGAATTTTAACCATGACAAGTGCAAGGTCCTACACCTGGGTCGGAGCAATCCCAGGCACAGCTACAGGCTGGGCAGACAAGAGATTCAGAGCAGCTCTGTGGAGAAGGATGTGGGGTGTTGGTCAATGAGAAAATGAACATGAGGCAGCAGTGTGCACTTGCAGCCCAGAAAGCCAACCATATCCTGGGCTGCATCAAAAGGAGCGTGACCAGCAGGTCAAAGGAGGTGATCCTGCCCATCTACTCTGCTCTTGTGAGACCTCACCTGGAGTATTGTGTGCAGTTCCGGTGTCCTCAACATAAAAAGGACATGAAACTGCTGGAACAAGTCCAGAGAAGGGCCACAAGGATGATCAGGGGACTGGAGCACCTCCTGTATGAAGACAGGCTGAGAAAGTTGGGGCTGTTCAGCCTGGAGAAGAGAAGGCTGTGTGGAGACCTCCTAGCAGCCTTCCAGTATCTGAAGGGGGGCTATAGGGATGTTGGGGAGGGACTCCTCATTAGGGACTGTAGTGATAGAACAAGGGGTAATGGGTTCAAACTTAAACAGGGGAAGTTTATATTGGATAGAAGGAAGAAGTTTTTTACTGTAAAGGTGGCAAGGCACTGGAATGGGTTGCCCAGGGAAGCTGTGAATGCTCCATCCCTGGCGATGTTCAAGGCTGGGCTGGACAGAGCCTTGGGTGACATGGTTTAGTGTGAGGTGTCCCTGCCCATGGCAGTGGGGTTGGAACTTGATGATCTTAAGGTCTTTTTCAACCCTAACTATTCTACGATTCTATGATTCTAAAATAAGTAAGTTCTATGGCAACCTGAATTCAAGAATGTTTGCCTTCTAGAACAAGCAAGTGCAATGAATGACCTGGCAGTTACCTTAGTACCCACTAATTTATTCATATCCCAGTGTGAGAATCAAACTCAGTGGACAGACTAAATAAAGCTTAAATAAAAACATCCCACACATTTTCAAGTCCCTTGAGAATCTATTCAGAAACTTCACATACCACCCTTAACTTCAGCTCACAATTCTCGGCACTACTCTGTTCATATGCAAAATTAAAAAGGTAGGGCCTGGTGCATTTAGAGACTGATGCCTTTATATCACTATACATTTCTATAGCACGAAAGGATTTTACTCTAGAAGTTGTCTTTGAAGTTTTGTTTTTTGTTTTTTAATATGTTTTAAACTGATATAGCCTGTTTTACTTCATAACATAATAAGTTTAAGTGATGAGGCTTGACGCAGGCTCACAGAAGTATGAAAAACTGGCTGGGCAGCAAGGTCCACTGCACTGTGGTCAATAGTTGTAGATGCAATTAGTGGCTGGCTGTGGCTAGCATTCCTCAGGGTTACCAGAAGCCAATACTTAACTATTTCAATAACCTGCACAATGCAAAAGAATATCAAGTTTGTAGATGATGCCAAACTGAAGGGAGCACTTAACATGCTGAAGAACAAGGCTTCCATTCAAAGAGACCTCAAATGGGTGGAAGAAAAAGTTAACAGGAACCTCATGAAGTTCAACAAAAATAATGCAAAGTCCTGCACTTGGGCCCAAATAACCTTGAGCAATAGCGGTGTGGGGACTGACTGGCTGGGCAGCAGCTCTGCAGAAAAGGAACTTGGGGCCCTGGCATACAGACTGAACAGGAGTCTGCAGCATACCCTTGCAGCTGCAACAGACCAATACATCCTGGGCTGTATTAGCCAGGCAATCAAGTGACTACCTCTCCTCTAGTAAGCATTTGAGATTGCTGTGCCCAGGGAGGGCACAAACACCCTTGAAGATTGGAAAACACAGCTGATCAATCCTGCTTTGAGCAGAAAGTTGGTCCAGATCATGTCTTTTTTTGGATTCCTTGAATTTTCATTGGCAGCATCACATACTGGTAGTTGTCAAATAACATACAGAGTATGTAGGCCTCTGATCTGATCTAAAATTGCAATTACATGCTGAAGAATCATCACCGTATCTTCCTTAGCACTGCCTTGATTTTAGGATTGAGGACTGCCAGACTGTTTTTAGACTTTCCCAGTTTAAGCTAATGAAAGAAAAGAAATTATAGTTGGCTCTGTGTCTACTCTTATTTTCTTTTCTCTAACACTGCTTCATATGAGAGTGCAAGACACACAATTAAAAAAGACCCACAAAACAAAACCCCCCAAAACCAACAAAAAATCCCAAACCAAAATCCCGCCTGATTTTTTTTAATGTTACCCTCCAAACAATCCTTTCCTTCTCTCAAGCATGTGTACAGTAATAAAATGAACACGCAGGAGCATATCCTCTTACTTTAGTAAACGTATTGCATGGCTGAAGCCATCTCCTTCTACTTGCACTCCCTGGTGAGGAATGTCCATATTAGATAACTAGGAATGAACAAGAAAAATGTTATCCCAAGCAAAAAGTCAAACAAATTAACTTTTCAAGGATTCCCCGACCACCATCACCACCAAGGGTGACAGATGTTTCACATTTTCAAGCATTAGAAATCCGAAAGAGTCTATGCAAATCTGGTATAAAGCTGTCTCCCAACCCCTCCCACGACTGTCCTTCATTCTCATTTTTCCTTTTCTCTAAGTTTTTCAAGCTTTTTATGATGCTTGGTATTAGAGAACTAGCTCTAACAAGACCAGAGGAACCAGGCTCAGCTGGCGGGGGAACACCAAAGTGAACAAGTTTGCTGAACAGGGGCATCTAGACAAGAGAACCAGGAGCAGTAGAGAGGAAGAAGGAAACAAGGTATTTTTTAACACATACCTCCATACGTAGCCCTATAAATGGCATATTTGTATCACACATGGCTACAATATGAGCTAGCACTTTATTGAAGGCACACATTTCTCCCGACCGTTTTGGTTTCTTAGGTTCTATGGAACATGGATCACCAGATAGCTAGAATTAAAATAAAGACAAAGGTACTTGCACATTTAGAAAAGATACCAGAGAATAATCTCTCTCATCCAAGTTTTAAATGAATCACACCCTTAACACAGTCTACTGAAAGGATCTGGTAATTCAGGATAGAAACAATTCAGTTGAAGTAATTTTAAAATTATGTCCTTCCTTAAAACAGTATTTACATATCACTAACCCATGTCAGGCTGACCCCAGAAGTTAACACTTATCAGCCCCTGCAAGTCTTTCATAGACTACACCTACACGGCACAAAGCGTATGACACAGATACCAGCACTCTGTATGCAAGCTACTCTTGCAACCTCTGCATATAGTGCTCTGCCTTGGCTCTTTACAACAGCTGACAAGGCCTGGCATGAATTAAAAGACAACTGTTTCAAAATAGTTTCCCAAGGTCTCCCTAGGGAAGCAGCCCAGAAAGAAAAGCTGTAATATAAGCAGGATGTAAGCCACACAAACTTTTGAAACACCACTACTAAAGCTGGTATTGATACTCAGAACATGCATTTAGCTTTCATGCTCTACAACTAGCTCAATGGCTTTTGAACCACATACCTTGCGCTTGACACCACTTTTCATTTGTTTCCCACTTTTTGTGTCTAATACCAGCTCTTCAATGTTTGGCTTGAACTGCTGTAGTAGAAGTGCAGTAGCAGGACTGTCATCTCCTTCAGCATAGCTCACAGAGAGAAAATAGTACTTATACTCTAGTTCTGTGGGGTTGCCAGGAACATCAAACATCTCTACAACCTATATTAAAACAGAACAACAAATTCAAAAGACCCTGAAGCTGAGGGTATGTCTGCATCAGTTCCTATCCTTTCCCTGTCAGAGAAAAGGGACAAGTTTTTTTCAAGATATTAATACTGTGGCTAGGAAAGGGATCCAAGAAGAGAAAGATGATAAACTTTCAGGAAACATAAAGAGAATGGTTGCTGAGAAGGTTGCTGAGTAATTAAACTTTATGCCCCCTTCTCTCTATAAGCCTGACTCCTTAAAAAACCCACAGAATGAGAGAAGGGAGGGAGAGAGGAGAACTGAGGATTACATTGGTGACTTGGTTCCTAATGACAGAGTTAACAGTGCAACAGACAAACTGTCTGGCATATCCATGACTGGAAGAAAAAGACAGAAGCATTTTTCAGCTACTTACAATGTAGTACTGTGGAAGGCGAGTGAGTTTGATAAACAATTTGTGTTTGGAAAGGTTTCCCACTGGATGGCTAGCATAATTAGCTAGTTGAAGAGTTTCATTGCTCACTGTAGGCAGATGCTTTATAGACTGTTTGCAACGTTGCTGTCCAAGCCAGAACCTTGCGTTGAAAGAAAGGCATTAGTACCCTGAGGCTGTTTTAAATTATTCTAGTATACTGCTGTTTAGAGCATTAGTGTCAAATTAAGTCAGTCATATTCTAAGTCAACATCTGTCATTGCTGCATAAGTTATACACAGAAAAATCACACAGATCATTTGTGAGAAGAGTTTGCATTTTTGTATTACTATGTCCATATCTTGTCTTCAGTTTGAGTAAAAGATAGCTGTTAATATAAGAAGAAAAGCCCTGAATTTTTTTGCTGAAAGAATGCATAAATTTTTATACACTACAATATGTAATTGCAATATAGAAAACAAAGGGACAAATTAAAACCCATGCAGATTACAGTTATTTTACAATTGGAGATCTTCAATTACTTTTTCGTATGGAAAGGAAAATCTTTGCCCTCATACACTGGTAAGCAATATAGTAAAAAGTAACTAAAGCTGGACATCACTTTGCATTATGTTATCAGCAAACTCATTCACCTGAGTAAGTTTGGACATGAAGAACCACATGCAAGACACCAAATTATTCTAACGTTTGGAACTAAACTTTGTTCTATTCTAATGGATTTTGGCTATAATGAAAGGCCAGAAAGCCTAGCTAAGCTTGAAAGGCACACAGAAATGTGTGGCTTGGTTCTTCAGTTAACCTTCCACTGAAGACAACAGGGGGAAGTGTGGGTGCTGAGCATCCCTCCATCATGACACACCATGTTTATTCTTGTAGACACGTTATAGCTGTCCTAAAAGACATTTCATGGATCTGTCTAGCTTCCTCAAAAACTGCAGCACTACCCAAGCAATTATCTCAAGTACATAATTTATAACAAAGGGAGGTTGATTAGTTTCTCCAGGGTGCCAGCACTTCATGCGTCATCATGCTTCTTTTAGAAGCAAAATTCTTCAAATAGAGGTTTCACCCTGCAATTAACTCAGAGTGCTGGGAATTTCCAAAATGACAGAGCAGGTGGAACTTAAGTTTTCATGCAGATGCAAACTGTATTAGTATTACTTGCTACAACCTCTTTTGGGAGCCAAATGTATCTTGTGCTTAAATCTCAGGGCTGTATAGAAGGAAGATTAGAGCTTTAAACCAGCAAGGGCTGAAGTATTAGCAGATAAACAGATATTATTTAAATCATCCTAGGCCACTTCCTATTTTTCCACTATATTGTAAGAAGGGAGATGTTCTTGCTGAGAAACAAGCAGTTCAGTGGTAGAAACAGGGTAGAGGAGATAGAAAATAAACATGAACACAAAATGAGATCCTCAAAAAGCAAGTCATCTGCTACTGACTTGAAGTGAAAATACTTCAGCAGAGTATGTGCATACCAATGCATGAGGCTATGCATAAAGGGGCTAAAGGAGGGCTACAGAATCACCTCCAAGCAAAACCAGAATTTCCCCACCCACTTAGAAGAGATGGAAAATAAGGTTGCTTAGAATAATGAGAAAGTATATGCCCTATTGTGTAAAATGCAAAGCCATGGAAGCGTGATCATCCCAATTACAAATATGGTAGGTCATTTTATGAAGACGAAGTGAACGAGTCACTTACTTGAGCTGCTGGAGACAAGGAATGATACGTTTCATATCATCATTAACAGACTTCTCTATGTCATCAAGTGTCAGTTGATCTGCAAGAACATCAGGTAAGTGAACGGTCTTAACATCTGCAGGTAAAAAAAACCTGACTTTTTTAATGTGTCTTATCTAATTTAACAATTAATCATAGAACAGCTCAGGCTGGAAGGGTCCTTGAAAGGTCATGTGATCCAACCTTTCATGGGAAAGTGAGCCTAGATGACAGATTATCTAACACCTTGACAATCTCTAGTGATGGGAACTCCACACACCCCTGGGGAGGCTGTTTCAGTGAATGACAGTTTTCACTGTAAAAAAATTTTTATATTGAGATGAAACCTCTCCTGGTGCAACTTGTAATTGTTGTCTCTTCTCTATGTGGCTCATTGTGAAGAGAGAGACTAATATAAAACAAATGACCCATAATGATTGTAAAACCACAGCAGTATGTTATTAGGCAAATAAACTGAAAGAACTCACTTTCCTTCTTTTTTTAAGTAATATGAAACCTGAAGTTAAGACTTCAACAGTTAACTCAAGATGTGTAAGGTCACATAATACAATCCTTAATCAGGCCCATATGAAATGACTGCATTCATTACCAGCACAACCCAGGAATCCCAAGTCACAAAGAATATGCATTGCAATGATGCCTAACAATATTTAGCCTGTTGTTCTTGTAAAACATACCAAACTGAACCGGTACTCTTCAGCAAAAAGATTCACTTCTCGGTTCCTTAAACTCAAATAGCTAGATGATGACTCCAATGGGATGTTCATTTGCATTATTGTTATTTACTTACAGAACTTTGCAGATTAACAGAATTGTTCACACCAAATTACTTCAGAATGAAAAATTTTTGTGAGATATTAAACACATCCTGCTTTATACCTACTTACCAACACCATACAGCATTAGTTGAAACATTCCAGAGTGGAGATCAACAAACACATGCAGGCACTCTGATCGACCACAAGGTTCCAAAATCGGAATTACAAGAGTTGGAAGAGCCGTCTCAATGAACGCTAAACAAAAATTTATGCAAATAAGGTTACACAAGATTCAAGCTCATCATATTAAAAATTAGTCCATTACAATCACAAACCCGGTTTGTTTTTATAGAAGCAATCTTCGCTTGCACATTATTACACTGTTAGCATAAATAATACAAGAATTTTTCTGTGAAAACAGTGCTAGTACCAAACCAACAAAAGACAAAATTTGAAGGAGGTTATTAATCCTTTAATATCCTTTAACTCAAAGAGTTAAAGGATACTAAAGATATAAGATCAACTCAAATCCCAACAGTTCCAACAACAGTTTAAGCAAAGTCTCATCCAAAGCTAGCTGAAGACAGTTCATGATATGCTTTCAATTCTGAACATGTACAAGTTTTACAGTAGACAACTTTTAACCCTTCAGCTCAGGCTATAATGCTCTACCAGGTTCATCTATTATATTGCATTTAAAGGTATAATTATTTTACAGTTATCAATACAGAACAATTTAAAGCTGCCCTGTTAATTCTGAACACATCTCCCTTTAGTTTAAATAAAAAACATGAAAAAATTCTGAAAACAAGAAACAGTAAGAAAAAAGGAAACCATTCCTAGGCACAAATACACTTGAAACAACTTCAGTAGAAAGCACATACAGTTGTCATTAATATTGTAGCTCTTAAGAATGGCTTTCAGCTCCTGGAGTTTTTGATGAGATCTTGCATGGACACTGTCTATTAGGAGTTTTTCTATTGATAGGTGGTCAATCTGTAAAAAAGGAGTGCACTTGAGCAAGTTCGAATTTGATGTGTAGGCTTTATGCACTAGCATGCTGGAACAAAGCTACTTCAGAATCACTTCAGAAAGAATTTGCTTAGAACTGTGGTGAACCAAGCGAACTACTAGCTTGAGTATTTGGATCACTATAAAAATACAACAAACTAACATAAGATTGTGCAGCAGGCAGTGGGAGGCTTTTTTACAGTAGACTAGAAGAAAATGCAAAAGAAAAGACATTTAACTATGCTATTACAGCTGCATGTGTAGACATACTTGTTCTGGATTAAGGCTGGAGTATTTTCCAATTTAGCATGCATCTGTTTATCCAGTTATAAGATAAAGAACCAAGCAACCCCCCCCCCCCCCAAAACAACACTCTATTAGAATATGGTTGCCTCTACACAAACAAATATGTAGCTGTAACATGAAATACAACACACTAGTCTTAGTCCTGCTAACAAGGTAACCATGCAGCAGCAGCCACTACTAAACCCAGGAGTATCTAAAGGCTTGCATCTAGAGGCTGTTGCACTGTCAGTGCTGAAGCTTATGCTACCACTTATATTCACTGTAGCTTATTTGTGCAACCTAAATTAAAGCATTTGCATTTAAATCCATTCATATGACATATTATTTACACATTTTGAATAAACAAAGCTACAGATTACTACAAAACACTTCTCTAGTTAATATCACACTGCTTTGGAAACTTTTTAAGGTGAATTAAACTTGAATTTTATTCTAGCATGAGATACATGCAGAAGAAGTTTACACCACAACAGAATCATACAGAATTTCAGTACATGCTTTGCATATAGCAGAACGATCTTCCCCTGAAGATTAGCTTTCCAAAGCAAGGCCCTAAAAATTAAGTGGTTTTACATCCACAAGAGCATTTCAACTCAGCAGCTGCTATGAGTTAAATCTTCCTCACTATCAATTACACGTTCTATAGCTATATACAATTTTCAGTAGGTTAATGTATAATAACCTCCTTACACAAACACATTTATTCGTGTCACTGTTTTATACAGTATCTTAAATAGAAACAGTGTGCTATCTACATCATCACAGCTGAGATATTTCAAACACTAGAACAGAAGCGTAAATACCATAACTGATATTTTTTTTAAGCTCTGAGTAAATAGTTATAAAGGGAGTCAGCATTAACTTTGACAAATCTCAAATTTAGAATAGCTTCATATCTTAAACTACAGACTGTAGGCCTGATTCAGTGACTTAGATTGATTGCATCAGCTCCAGTAGAACTTCAGCAGATATTCTAGATAAAGCATATTTTCCTAGATTTAGCCATAAATACAGCACCTTCACTAAATTAACTGTGTATTTAGCAGCCTAAATGTGCTAATTTAGGTTATTAAATGAGTAAATTTAGTGTATGTTTACTATACTAATAGTAGAATTTCCACTCTACAAGTATAGTAAAAGGCTACTATGCTCCACTAAGTTTCCCACATGCCTCTGCAGCCCAAACATATGAAGTCTTTGCGTACACCATATAGAGACTTGTCTGTCAGACTTGGTAAACAGGACGGGCCAAGAGGCTCAAATACAAAGTATGTACAGCAGGTAAAGGCTATTGTCAGTAGAAAGTTCTGTAAGACAGGCCACATGATGTAATCTAGTTAGTAGTAGCGTAAACCCAACCTTCACCTAACACTTGCAACAAGCAAACTATGATAAGCTTTTCCGCATAAGATTTCCAAATCATAATGCAAGATTTTTGAAAGCTAATAGCACTACTGGGTTGCCAACTCTAGTGACATGGGGAAGCTGACTTTCAGAGGAAGTTTATGCAGCATCTCCAGGAAGATGGAGATTAGAGCCAGCTCTTCCCTTTTCTGTCTATAAAGCACTTCAAGCCAAAAACTAACCATAAGTGAAATTTTGTTGCTCTTTCCCCCCAGCCTCTGCATTCTGTCTCATAAGTGGTATATAACACACTGTGAAGTACGTGTAATTTTTAAGATTAAGTAAAGGCCAATTAATTTGTAACAGCAATTTCAGGTCCTAATATAAATACTAACCAACACAACCTAGTTGAACTGTTCACTAGAACTCTTAGAAACACCTCTTTAAATAGAATCAAAGAGAAACAATCTGACAGTGCAAAGGATTTTTATGGTTTTGATTTCTAAAACTAGATGCCTACTGCAAAACAAAGCTTTACCTTCATGGCTCTTTCCATCAGTTTGGAATCACAGGCTGGCAGTGGAGGCTCATGAGATATTTGTAAGGGTTTTGAGACATCAGTTTCATCAATCTTAATAGTGACCTTATGAACAGATGCAGTCCCTGTTTTCCTTCCAAGCACCTGTTGACTTTAATTAAAGATAATAATTAAACCATGTAACTGAAACAGTAGAAAATATGTTTTTCAATAGCTGATACTTGATTTTGAGAATTCTGGTTGAATATAAGACTGAACTGAAAAAAAACCCAAATTTGTTTAATTTTACATTTTAATGCAGAACTGCTGGTAAACTGTAGTCACATAAAGAAGTTTTAGATGGCAGCAAATTTAACACAGTCAGAAGATCATTAGGATTATGGTGTTTTTTTTTAATTTTATCAACTGCAAGTCAAGCAACGGTAAAAGACTGACAAAGAACTAATTAATTTAGATGTTCATGTGAATACAAGCTGAGTTGTAAGTGTATCTTTTTTCTACTGTATGTTAATGTACATCACTCACTTCTCTGCAAGTCAAGCAACGTGTTTAGCTACTTAATTACAAAATTTAGGAGTCTCACATCAAAAAGAAAGTACATTTCTGGAAATTAAGGCTCAAGCTTAGCAAATGAAAACCCTCCTTTTATTTAATTTATCGTTTGCTAACAGCCCTTTTAAAATCAACTTACTTCCAAACAGAGAGTGAGAGACATTTCCCTGCATGATACCGCTCCACTTGCACAAGGTCGCCCCAGCGCTCCCGAATCAGCATTAGTGTTTGTGAATGCAAGACTTCCAACTGAAGTGCTAAGCAGAAGGAGTCTAATGAACTGTGTTAAGAAAGTAAGACTTTCCAAAGGTCTGTACACTACATAAATCCATTTGTCACAAAAATGGACAGCAACCATTGTGGAGAAGGACTTGGGGGTGCTGGCTGACAAGAAGCTCAACATAAGCCATAGTGTTTGCTCACAGTTCAGAAAGTCAACTGTATGCTGGGCTGTATCAAAAGAAGCATGACCAGCAGGTCAAAGGAGGTGATCCTGCCCCTCTGCTCTCAGGAGACCCTACTGGGTCTACACAGTTCTGGTGTCCCAAAATAAGAAGGACATGGAGCTGCTGGAACAAGTCCAGAGAAGGGCTGGAGCACCTCCTGTATGAAGACAGGCTGAGGGAGTTGGGGCTGTTCAGCCTGGAGAATGCTGTATGGAGAGCTCATAGCAGCCTTCCAACATCTGAAGGGGGCCTAGAAGAACGCTGGAGAAGGACTCTTCATTAGGGACTGCAGCGACAAGACAAAGGAGATTGGGTTTAAACTTAAACAGGGGAAGTTCAGGTTAGATATAAAGAAGAAGTTCTTTACTGTGAGGATGGTGAGGCACTGGAACAGGTTGCCCAAAGAAGTATAAAATGCTCCACCCCTGGCAGTGTTCAAGGCCAGGCTGGACAGGGCTTCAGGTGACAGTCGTGTGAGGTGTCCCTGCCCATGGCTGGGGGCTTGGAACTAGATGATCTTCAGGTCCTTTCCAACCCTAGACATTCCATAAAAGTCAGACAGGATGCTGTCTGAAAACACACTAAAGTACTTATCCAGAGATACTAATCCAGTGTGTGTAAACATCAAATCTCTTATCTAAGGCAGGATGTTAGACAAGAGTGTCACAATAGTTTTGATTCGTAGATTTTAGCTCTAATAATCTTTTAGGGAAAAGAAGATTACTAACAAAGAAATTTAATTCACCCTATAGTTACCACTAACCCGTCTCCCATGGTCACCCTAGAATAACATGATTCTGTTTTGTTTCTGCAGAAGCTGTTTCACTGAAAACTGTTTCTCATTGACAAAAAATATGCCCTTTGCATGTAGCAAATAACTTCCTGCACATGCTGCATCTCACCTTATTTTTCACACAGGTGCAACACAGTTAGCACATCATCATCACCTCAGTGCAGTTCTTGGCAGCAAGAATTGTCAGCTCCCATGCCCTCCAAGTCAGTACTGTACTCTGTCTCTGAAACAAGACATGCAGCCAGCCAGCTGCTGGTGGACTGACTTACCACAACCTGCTGTCCTGAGTACCAAACCTCTACCTTTGTTGATTTAAGTGTGTGAAATCAAATTTTACATGCTGGCACCTGAGTATAACTGCTTCCAAGGCTATCATTTTTAGTCCACATCCAGATGTTTCCCCCTAGCTTACCAGGGAATCCATCTTCCTTGCCTTCCAGCTACTAGGAAGAGCAAGGCTACATTAAAAAGCTTATTCAGAAGCAGCTTTCAGAAGGATACGCAGACAGTTGTACATGTCCTGAAGTGGCTTTTCATCAGCAAACAGCCTTGACTGGACCAGCTGATGGATGAAGTTGATCTGCATGCTGTGAACCAAGGCTCGACCATCTTTCACGAATTAAAAAAAAACAACAAACAAAACCCCAAACCATTAGACATCAGGAAACTAGGCTTTTAAATAATTAAATGAATTAATAAATTGAAAAGAAAAAAATCCAACAACTTCCACACCAGAATTTCTAATAAAATAACAAAATCCTTGGTTTACTCTAGATATTTCAGACTACAACACTAACACAGTCTACCTTTGTTAAGGTATTAAAAGCATATAGAACAAGGTTAAAACAAGAATGGTATATACAGCCTTATTATCTAAGCTGTGATATGCAAAAGACCCAGTATAAGCAAGACTTATACAATATCAGAGATGAGCATGTTGAAAAGGAAGTGTTAACAATTGATTTTTTTTTTTTACCACCAGTTTCCTTGTCTTCAACCAAGATTTCCAGTTTGAGAAGGCGCCAGGGGATGTCAGGGTCATCACCCATCACTGTCAAGGTGGCCTCAAACTCACCCTCAACTCGGAACTTCACACGGCCATTGGCTAAGGAAGAGAATAATGCTTTATTTCACTCAGTCTCTTAAGATCACAGAATCATAGAATGGTTTGGGTTGGAAGGGACCTTAAAGATCATCTAGTTCCAACCCCCTGCCATGGGCAGGAACACCTTCCACTAGCCCAGGTTGCTCAAAACCCTGTCCAACCTGGCCTTGAGATGCCTCAGAACATCAGTGTGGTAGTTTCCGGCACTTACAATGGATTACTGCCCTATGGTTTCTGCTCTGTTGCACCTGTTTCTGTGCAGCTCTGAAGATTTCACAGTTGCTTCTGCATTAGAATCTGTGTCAATAAGCAGCATAGACACATGTACCAAAAGGTCCTGAACAGCAGTACTTTAGTCACAATAACTTGTTAACACTTGTGCTACTATAAGACAGAGTAACACTGAGCTGAGTACCAGCCTGACAAATTACACAAACAAAATGTGTGGCTTAATTTTTCCAGTTCTTTGCTACATCAATAATGAATACTTTAAGCACTATTCAAAAGAGGTTCAGAACCTGATCTCAGCCTAGGCTGAAATCTAGCCCTGGAAGCACATCTCATTGCAAACCATTTATTCAACATTACAACAGTATAACTCAATTTTCATGTGAGGAAGATAATATTTTGCATAATTCATATATATGTGCACACAAGCAAAGATTATGCATGCTATCTAATCAATATATACATCCTCACACCTGTGGACAGTGCTATCAGTTTCAAGAGCTGGGAACAAAGTTTGTCCAATTCACATGAGCAAGGTCATAAAGAGAATGAGTGGCAAAGCAAACTATTTAGTACAAGTCCTTATTATAACCTATGGGCCAGCTGCCTTCTCAGTCACTTAACAAAACATGCCATATACATCTGCAATTACAGACATATAGAAATCTTCCTATAGAAATGTTAAACATTTTAACTCACAGTTTCATTTTCAAAATCACCCCAGGCATGCTTTTAAAACAAATTAAAGCCCAAACCAAAAACTAATAGTCACTGAAATACTTAGTCAACTGAAAAATCTGAAGAGCTCAGACATATATCCATTTACGGTTTTGTTAGACAAAAATGGCTCTAATGCTAGTACTGCAAACATTCACATAGGGACCAATGAAAACTATACTCATCAATTTAAGTCTGTGAGATACAGTTTACACATGGCTAACCTTTCCTTAGTTCAATGGACTAGGTCCATTCCTGCCCTATTCTCTGTGATTCTGCAATAACCTAGTCCGGTTCATAGCCATCCTTCCTGTAAAAAGGATCATCTTAATGTCTATCACTACTTGGGCTAAATGAAAATAGGGATCTGAGAACAGATTAAGAGATGTGGCACTGTAGGGAGGCACAGAACAAAAGGCACGCATAAATACCAACAATTCTATGCATGAAGATGAACACTGAAACAGATTTAAAAAGCAACACTAGAGTGACATGTTTAAGATAAAGTTCAAATAAAGACTTAACAGTTTAATTAAATTGTATTTTAAAATAAGATAAAGCAGTTACATTGTTAGGCCTAAGACTCTTCCATAACACATCTGCTGAAAGAGCAAGAGCATGTCTACAACCTTTTGCCATTACCTGCACAGGATTTCTTCCTGAAAGTAAATAATATTTCAGCAGTATTATCAGTGCTCTTATTTTTCAAAAGAGGAAAACATATTTTGATGTCATATAGAAACAGGCTTGAAGCCTTAATAGATGAGCATGCCTAATGGTCTCATTGAAGCTATATTTGTTTTATCACTAAAGCAACAATTTTAAATCAGCCTGCAATAATGTGTTCATCAAAAGGTCATTCCAGTTCTTACCAACTGTAAGATTTGCCAGCTGCGGAGGGAGATCTGTAGTCACTAGTCGATGCCGAAGTATCTGGTTTAGCTGATGAAGTGTGGTTTGTTTCTCACTCTTTGTTATTGGGTCAGGAGGGATTATTTTATCCTGTTAAAATAAACACAAATAAGTCTGCATATCTCAAACATGTGCTATACATCAACAACAGCAATGGAGAAAACTAACCAGACTAGAAGTCTGAAAATATAAATACTACAGGCCCTTACACACAGTGATGTTTTGTATCTTACACTCAGATTTGTTTTCTAGTTGATTACATTTTACCTGAGACTGACCACTGAATAAAATTGATCAGCTTGGGTCAATTAAATAAATTCAGGGCCTTACATCAGGCTAAACTTTTTTTAAATACTAAGATTTGAAAGTCAATCCTTACCTGTAGCTATAGATCTAAGTCACAGGCACAACTATTTATATTACTTCACAAAATCTTGTCATTCTGCATTTTAACAGTAATAAAAGACAGAAGCATTAAAGAGAACTTTTAAGAATTTCAGTACATCTCTAAATACAGGCAAAACCTCTAAGAACAACAGATGTCTGTATCTCCTTTTCACACTTCATTTTTCTAGGATGGTGGCTTAGCATGTGCAAATATTTAAATAACCAAGGAAGAAAAGTTGCTACTCATCCTAGAGCAGAACTAGTTTAAATGGAGAGAATGTTTTACTGGGAAAGCATAACTTGTTCAAATAGGAAGTGCTCTGCATGAGAAAACTGTCTCTACAGAGACTTGGCACTAGGCCTGTATTAAACTACAGTTCCATTTGCACATAGATAATTAGTTTCATTAACATGCATTTAATACTGTACAAGGAACTTCCCCACCCCACCCCCGATGTATGGTAGCATTATTTACCCTAATGCAGGTAGGCAGACGTGGGTATGATCCAGTCGTCAGAACATCAATAGCATATGGGATAGCAAAACTAGGTAGACGAGCATGAACCAAAGCATCTCTAGCTAGCGATGCCAGACGATCAGCAGTGTCCACAAACAGAATAGCTTGCTGATCTAAAAAACTTGATATCATCTATCAAGGGCAAGGAGGAAAAAGAAATTAAAAGAAAAAAAAAAGTAGGTGGGTAAAAAAGAATGCAGAAATCAATGCCCCTTTATATTCAGTTCATCTAGTGCAATTAACTAAGATGATTTTATTTGCCACTTCCAATTCAAGTAATCGGATCTTTAAAATATGGAATTAATATTCTGGCCATTTCTTACATTCATATACAAGGACACTTTAAATCTGCATGCCATTATTGATTCTGTGGAGGATCTGTAAAGCCTCACAGCTCTTCATCTGATGATTACTACTGGAATGCAACCATACTTGTTTGTAAGCACTACGGGTTTGTTTTTTGCAACATTCTGGACTTTATTCTTATTTAACCTAGAACAGGATGAAAGTGACTAATACACTGATCATCATCTTCCCTGTGCTATTACCTAACCCCAAAGCACTCTTGAAACTCTGTCTAGACAAGCATTTCATTTTTTGCCACTCATGAGTTTTTAGGAACACAAACTGTTAAAAAGATTACACAGCTTTAAATAGGAAGAAACTGGTTATAATTTAATATTTGATTGCCTATGAAATCGTCTTTTTTTCCTTTTTAACTTCTATAGTGAGCAGAAGTTCGGGTGTACCAAAATCCCATATGACTTAGAGATTATTTCATACCAAACTCTGTTGCAAACTTACCGCACATTTTTCCACCTTTCCAGCATTATTAGCCCATTTGACCAAGGCTAACAAACGAACAAACAGCTGACGAGTGCGACTTGCAAACTGCACTATTTCTATTTTTCTGGAAAAAAAGCATATGTAAAATCAGTGCTCAATTTATACAAAAAGCTGCACTAAAACTATGCCAATAAAAGAAAAAGCTGCAATGATAACTGCTAATTGTGTTAATGAAGGCATCACTAATATATGGTTTGTTTGATTAGAACATGGAAAAAAAGCTCAGTGTTCGGAATATCTAAATGCTAACAACATACATAGATTCTAACCAACCAAGACAGTCTGGGGAAACAAAAAAGCATATTCACACGAATTAATTACTAATTTTAAGAGAAACAATTCCACAGTGAACTCAATTGAATTATTTTTATACCTTTTACAGGATTTCACCAGGGCTTATGGTTGAGTTTAAAGCAGACAAAGCAATATACCTAAGGGTTAAAGGACCTGGTAGTAATATTACAAAGACACAAAATAAGCTCAGAAATAAATCAGATACTGTACAAAATATCACTCTAGTAATTTCAGAATATCTTTACACAGTATGTTACGATATACTACCATTTTGGCAGGAAAGGGGGGGGGGGGTGGGGGTAGGGAAGACCACAAATATTTCTTTCCATTCCTACCTTGCAAAGAAATTTGGGTAAGAATAAATCACTTAAAGTCAATATTCCTTCCACCTGCTTTTTATGAGGCAGTCAAAATGAGGCAATGTATGTTTGCATGTCTTAGGAGTTAGTTTTCATAAAAGAGAACATGAAGGAAGCACACCCAGATTTTTCCCCTTCATTACAGATCTATATTGTAGATGCATTAGACAAGACACGCAGATCTACAATGTAGATCTGTAATACCCTACACTCTGAAATACGATTTCATCTACCGTTTATAGGAGTTTTCCTCCCTTTCTACATGCTCAATTTATTAGTATCACCATGGTTTTCTAGTTACTTTGAAAAAGACCCAAACCGAAGCTTTTTTCCTGACAGGGTTTTCTGCACTAACAAAAATGTGGGCAAAAATAATACTAATCACTGCAACAGATATTCGCATCTACCAAACAGAAGTCACACCTTCTGATCCGAATCTGGAAAACACATATTCGTAACATAGATAGAGCCTGCTTCTGCTGGAAGTTTTGGTATAATGATGTTAACTGTTTTGTGTAGTAAGTAAAGCATGATCTGTTTGTAGCATATGAACATTTAGGCCAGAAGCACAACTAATACCATCTGGTCCAGTTTCGTGCATTACATACTACAAACATCATCCAAGAACTTGGGCATTAAGCCATTAACTTCTCTGTGTTCTACAGCATGAGTTTTAAAATGGCATTCAGCCCGATACTAAATTTTCAAGTGGTGGACGCACCGCTGCGTGTACATACTGCTCAACCAGCTACGAAAACAAGATGCTGAGAACTGCAACAGATTCAGAAAGACTTTATGGGATCTGAGAGACTTCTACAGTGAGACTTAAGAAAGCCATTAATTTCTCAGACAAACTTCATATAGAAGTTGCTAAATTCTAGGAGTTACATCAGTCAATGTGGTGAAAATTGCACAATAACAAGAAAAATTCAAACTGCTGTTCTGTAACCAGGAATCAAAAGTATATCTTCCTTTCTCCCCCACTAAAAAAAAACCAAAACCAAACAAACAGAAAAAGTATAGCAATTTAATAATGAAAATGACTGATAAAACTATACACAGTATTTCAGCAACTGTTCTGTTAATACCACATGTATGAAATTATAGAAGATTTGTTACTTCTACTTTGCAGAATCGATTTTACTGCCTTCCTTTGTCCTTCATTATAGATACAGGACATTATGCTGGGCTGCACAAAAGATTTTATTCAAGGAAGATGAAACAAGGGGAGAGAAGTATTAGCTACAGTAGAAGAATAACAAGTTGACGACCACCTAAGCAAGCTTGACATACAAAAGGCCATTAGACTGGGTGGAATGCATCCAAGGGTGCTGAGGGAGCTGACCCATGCCACTGTAAAGTTGCTCCATATCATTTTGAAAAGGCAACAGTGATCTAAGGTCTTGATGACTGGAAAAAAGGCAAACAAAGCAAACACCATGTCCTTCTTCAAGAAGGATCTAGGGACCTATGGGCCAGTTGGCGTAAGTTCAGTTAATAACATTTATAGAACAAATCCTTCCAGAAGCTATGTCCACATAAATAATGGACATTAAAGGAGCCTGGAAACAGCCAGCACAGATTTGCCAATGGCAAACCATCCTTGATCAACGCAATTACCTTCAACAGGATGATCAAGGGGAGAACAGAAAACACATTTGTATTGACTTCTGCACGGTTTTCGACCAGATCTCGCGTGGCATCCTTCAAGCCAAGCTGGTGAGATATGGTATGGGTAAGTGGACTGCAGGTAAGTAAAAAACTAGGTGGACTGCTACAAACAAAAGGCTGTGACCAGCTACCACTTGGGTTTCTTTAATGCTGGTTACTAGCGGTGTTCCTTGAGGGTCAATACTGGGACTAATACACTTTAACACCTCCATCAACAACCTGAATGATGTGAAGGAATGCACCCCTTGGAAGTGTGCAGGTAGGAGCAAACAGCAAAACAATCCTCAGCTGATTGGAGGAACTGGCTGACAGGAACCTCATGATGCTCAGCAAAACCACATGTAAAGTCCTGCACCTGGAAACAAACAATCTCATGTAACGGCACAAGGGGGGTACTAAGGTGCAGCTGGGCAACAGCTCTGCAGAAGTGGACCTGGGCGTCCTGGTGGATAGGTGAACAGGCATCAGCAATGTGCCCCTGCAACAATGACAGCCTTCATTAGCACCAGTGCAGCCTAAGTCAAGGAAGGCAATTATTTGCCTTGAGTCAGCATTTGTGAGACTACATCTGAAGCACGATATCTGGTTTTACACTCCCTAGCCAAGAAAAATACCGCCCTACAGAAGTGTGTCAGGGGCTGGAACACACGATATACAAGATAGGGCTGAGGAAATTGTGTTTGCTTCTGCTTCAGAAGGCTACTGTGAGATGCTACTGCCATCTTCAAATATCAAAAGGGGCATTATAAAGAAGACAGAACCAGACTCTTCTCAGAGGTGCAAAGAGCTGAGGGACAACAGCCACAAACTAAAACAGTAATAAACCAGTTAGACATAAGAAAAACCAAAGAAACACAGAGTGATGCAGTAAAAGACTCAAGCAGGTTGGCTAGAAAGGTTGCATGATTTCCATCCTTGAAGATACTTAAAACTCAACTGGATGCGACCCTGACTTTGAAAGTGTCTTTTACTTTAAGCAGAGGGTTGGACTAGGTACCTCCAAAGTACTATTCGAACCAAAATTATTATCCATGTCTGTGAAGGAGTGAAATAACAGTCATTTTGTCATTAGAAAAGAACAGAACTCAATGTTTCCAAAAACTGTCTCTGTAATTGCATGGTTACTGAAGTCATGAACAACATGTTTTTATAACAGCTCTGAATGCTTTTTTTTTCTTTTTAATCTTGCATAGATGATAGAGTCCTTACTGTGAGTTTGAGAAGTAACTAACTACTGCAAAACCATCACGGAAACTGTCTGGTTTTAGGAAAACAGTATGCTTATATAGTTCTTGGAAGTACTTTAACCACAGTTCTCTTTTAAATACTTCTCATCAGGAACTGTTCATTCAAGAACACAGGTGGAAAGTTTTACCTTACATTTCCCTAAAACAGAAGACAGGGCCTTGCAAAGTCATTATAATCCAAATTCCAGTTAAATCTTACTTAATTATAGAATCAACTAGATTGGAAAAGCCTTTTAAGATCATCAAGTCCAACCATATATATATTATACATTGCTGTATTTATATGAGTTTCCCACATATTACATTTTATTGGAGAATAAAAAGGGAAAGAAAGAATACAGAGCAGAAAAAGGTCTTCATTATCGAAAAGTCCCTGGATTTACTTCAGGACTCAGAATTATTGATTTTACACAATGGCACTGATGTTTTTTTTTTTAACCCAACCACTTCCTTCTTGTTGCAAGAGTTATTTACTCCTAACACTGATAACTAATAAATGTGCCTTTAGAAAGATGAGAAAAAATACACTATGATGCATAATTTCCTGTCAGTTTTTCTCCCCACAGCATTTAGCTAGGCACTGCAGTAATGAACTTAGATTTTATGTGAACTTTATTAGAGGATAATACCATCACATCTTCACCGAAGTATGTATGCCATGTCACCAGGCTAGCCTGAAGAAACGGCTTGAACTACTGCTGCCATTACAGCTCTCAAAGCTAGGAAAACCAGAATAATCTGGATAATTAAACTATGTTCCTTTCAGATTTCCTCCAAGAGCTGAAAAGCCACTTCACGAAGAAGAATTGCAAGTCAAAGCTAACACGCATACGAATATTTAATTTCAAGACAATCTCAACTGTAGAACATTCTTCATAATTACTGAAGGTTGCCTTGTTTTCCTTTATCTGTAATACATTGTTGCTTCAGACCTGTGTGACTCACAAAGTAGATTCCAGCTTTACCAAGAAATGCTAAACATCCAAATGGGAGAAGCCTCCCCACCAGTACGAGGGAGCTCTAGACCCAAGTTGAATGTAATTTCCTCAGCAAATAGTGTGATAATTAAAAACAAACAACACCACACACATTGTTTCTCTTTGTAAGAGATACATAAAGAAAAGGGGCACAAGGAATCCCAGGTTATGATTCCCTGAAAATGGGATTAACTCCATAACATGTTATAAGAGTTCTGGAAGATTTGAGATAACTGTATTAATGATCATTATGCTACACAGAATTTTTTATATTCTTCATTAGCATTCCTCAGAATATCATAGCTGCTGTATGTCTCCAAAGAAAGCTAGGTCAATTGGCATGTCAACATAAATAAACAATTTTCTGACAAGCTCCATAAAATTTATTCAGATAAACAAAAAAGTAAATCAGGATACTTCGTCTTGGGAGGGGTGAGGGAAAGGCTTGTTTTGGTCTCCTGCATTTGTTCTCAAATAATCTTCACACTCCAAAACCACATAGAAGTAGAAAACAGTGCTCATGATAAGAAAGATCAGGTAACATGGAAAAAAGCAGAAGAGAGGTTTTTACCTTGTTTTCATTGTTGAACTGCTTCCTCCAAACAAAGTTTCTTTATCACACTAACTAATATCTATTTAGGTTCTTCAGTTCCCTTTCACATCAATTTAACTGTCACTTCATTGCTTCAAGAGTCATTAAGAGAAAAATGCCTGTAACAGAGCTCACCTACTGTAACAGCAACAGTATGTTACTGAACAGTGCAACAGAAACAAAAAGCCAAACAACAACAAAACCATAACCCAACAAAAACTAATATTGGCATTGATGCTGAGAAAACTCTTGAACCTGTGTAGTGACAGCCACAGATACAAGGCTTATTTTCTTGCACAAAGTCTAAAAGTAGGAGAAAAAAATATTCTATTTAAACAGCTCTATATTAATCTTAATATCCTGAAAGTTCCATATTTTAACATGCATTACAGATTGTCTTTTTGTAACTCACCTCTCCATGTCAGTCTTTCTTGGTAACCTGTATAAGGAAAAAAAAAAAAAAAGCCATATTATAAATTGTTTATTACATTTCAGACTCCTAGAAATCTCGTTAGTACCCTTCAACTAAGTACAAGAAGAAATTCCACATACCTATAAAGAGCATGTCAAAATTTCTATGATTGAAAACGTTTCCTAAATGCAGTAAAATTACATGTTTGACAAAGGAAGTAGCTTGGCAGCTCTAGAAAGCAGCCTCATTAAAGGGGGGGGGGGGGGATAAAATCAGGTGTAGAACAGCACCACAGGGCGCCTGCTGCTACTGTGTGCCAGGCAAGCTGGAACCGGTCAAATTAATTTTAAAGCTTGATGAAGTGTGCTGAAATCACAAGAGTTGTACTAATCTAATGAGCCACACAGTACCACCATCCGTGCTTTGTAACTGATGACTTCCACTAAGCATCCATGACTAGAGTTAAATAATTCATGGTAGTAATCCCAGAACATCTGCAGCAAGTGTCAAAATATGCTGTTTCCTGAGTTGTTTGAAATGAGTTTCTCTTTTCTTTTGAATTAATCTAGAAGTGGAGAAATGTCATCCTTCAGAAATATCAATGACCTGTGTGACTGATTCTACTGCAGAGAGCGTACTATATTTCTGTAATGTTCCACAGGTATCACTGGCATCTCATTAAAAAGGTTATTTTTTTACTGTAGGACTAAAATAGCAATAAGCTGGTGCTGGTAAAAGAATGAGAAATCATTTTGTTGGAAATAAGGAGAAGACTTTGCAACTGGGCTTTCTACTAGCCAAGTCCATGCTTTACGGGAAAAATCTAGCTTACTCTGCCTTTGGAGGGGATATCACATAGCTTACAAACTACTTGCTGAATCAAAGCACCCAAGGAATTCCTGTGTTGTTCGCACCACCCATTTTATTTTGTACCTTAATTACGTACTGAAGTCAAAAGGACCTCCTCTACACCTTAAGACAAGAATAAATGACATCACAGGCACACGCTCCTAGAAGAATGCATACAGTACCAATTACTGTCTGCACATACCACAAGCACACAGGATGTTTCCTGAATGGCATTTCAGAAGTTCTTACAAAGCAAAATTCTAAAATTCTAAAACTCCTCATCCTTTCCAGAGTTTGAACACTCTCAACCCCACGTCAAGCAAAACTGTGTTTGCCTTCTTACCAGATACGTTATAGTTATTTTACAATAACTATACCTATTTTTTTCCTATTTGTTCTCTATGTCACTTCTTAAAACATACAGGTTCCCCACAGGAACATCCAAGGTTAAACAAAGTAAAAGGGAAACAGGTTTCTTAAAAGTACAGATGCTTTCAGGAAAGCTTTTCTTGGCCCAAACACATTCCTTTGTTTTGCCACTTCAAACACAACATCAGCACAGTAGATCACAAAGTAAATGTAAATAACTTACTTATTTCCCCAAAACAATCAGATGATATTTTCAAAAGTACACAAGTAACTCAAGGAGTTGCAGCATTTGAAAATATCTCTGTTTCACTTGTTTCAGTTTTGTGCGTTCTGGTATCGGTACAAACGCCACCACTGGGTTTTCTGACAGTAACTTGGAGGCAAAGTTAAGCTATTAAGATAACAACCTGCATCAGGCTGCCTTCCACTCCCTGCCATCATTTTCTTAGTTTGGGTTGGAAAGGACCTTAGAGATCATGCAGTTCCAACCCCCCTGCCATGGGCAGGGACACCTCATACTAGACCAGGTTGTTCCAAGTCCCATCCAATCTCGCCTTGAACACTGCCAGGGGATGGGGCACGCACCACTTCTCTGCATAACCTGTTCCAGTGCTTCACCATCCTCACAGTGAAGAATTTACTCTCTTTATGAGAGCCCACTCAGCAACTTTCACTAAGCCCCCCGCGTATGGCCCAACACAGATACAAGCCTGCACAAACAGGGCATTTCCACGGGGTGGGAGAAGGGGAAGGAGCAACCAGCTCCTCATCACCGGGACAGATCCCCTGCGAGGCCTCCCATCCCCTGGGATGCTGGGAGGTGGCACCGGTAAGCCCTAGCAGCTGGACAGGAAGAGGCGCGGGAGCCAGCCGGGGTAGTTTAGGGCACTCACAGGTCAGCCAGGACGGTGAGCTCGGCGTAGGTCCGGTGCAGCAGGAAGTCGATGAGGGTGCTGAGCCGATAGCCGGGACTGGCGGCGGCTGTCACAGCCCCGGGGGCTGGCGGGGCCGGGGCTGACGCGGGGCCCCCGCCGGCCGGCACCAGCTGGTTGCTCTCCAGCTGCACCGGCGCCATGGCGGCGGCGGCGGCGACAGCGCCTCAACCCCGGGCAGGAACCGCTCGACAGCCCGGGGGGCGGGGGAGGGAGCGCGGCCGGCGCTCCCGGAGGCACCGGCCCGCAGCCCGACTCACCCCGGACGGAGGGAGCGGGGCGCCCAGCGGCGAGGGCGGGCAGCGGCGGCACTGGAGGAGAACCGCAACACTCAAACCCCTCTGCTGGACGCAGGGGCCGCCGCCATGTTCGGCGCACGGAACCGGAAGCGAACAGCTGTAGCGGACCGGAAAGAGAACCTTTCCGGAACAGCCTCACTGGGGGGGCGGGGGGCTGGAGCTGGGGGGGTGGGGTTTGTCGCTGCTGCCGCCGGCGGCTGAGGGCGCGCGCGGGGTGTCCGTCGCGGCAGAGTTTCCCTGAGGTGGCGGGCCGAGGGGCGGGAAGGTGGCCGGGTTTGCGCGGCCTCTGGCGGTCTGGCGGCGGGGACGCTGAAGGGGCTGAGCCTGGCTGCCTCCTTGTAGGGCACGGCGGGGAGCGGAAATGGCGCCGTGCTCGGGAGCGAGCTGTCGGGACAAGGGCTGGAAGGTGCCTTTCCTGCTGTGCTTCCCGATTGAAGTGTCAGTAATTGACAAGGGAGGGGACGCAGCGGGGATGGCTCTCCCGTTGTGGTGAAATACAGGGCGAAGGAGAACCAGATGACTGGTTTAGCGTCTCAGAGAGGCTGATGCAGTTCTTCAGGCTGCAAGGAACGATGGTCTGCGTTAGGCGCTGGGCGGGCCTTGTGTGAAGGGTGCAGATCGATGCCGGGCAGTCGAGGTTAGGGGTAGCTTTCTGTGCATCCTCCTTTAAAGTCTCTGGTAAAGCAAGGGAAAGGAGCAGTGGGCAGGAGAGTGATCGGTGGGATCTGGTGATAAACACATAACCATGGGAATTTGTGCGTATTCTGTCTTCTGACGAGAGAAGGGAGGTCTGTAAATAACATGGATTTTTTTGTGTACTGGTTAGCAAAGTGGATTGTGTAAGGAAAGGAGCAGTATTTTGCTCTTGAGAATTTTATGATTCACTTGAGTGTTAAATGATAAATACTTGCCATATGATTACAAAGAAATCCCTGAAATAAGCACATTGTAGACAATAAATATCCAAACTCCTCAAAGTTTAATAAAAAAAAGGAAAGGTCTTACTTGTTTTGTATTAAATGTAGACTTTTTAAAACCTCTTAGCTCTAAGGGGAAAGTAAAAAATTTTTCAACCCGAGAAGTGTGGAATCAACAATTTAATGATGGCGATAATAGTAGAATGATAATAATGGCATCTATGCCAGCAACAAGAATAGTCAGTTATATACCTGCGGGGAGCATGTCTCTTGCCCCAGGCTATGAGCTGACTGACAAGGAGAGGCTCTTCCGTACCCTCTGTGGAGCATAAAACAGTGCATTGAGCAAGATGAACTGTTAACTCTGCATTGGCACAGCTGCTCCCACATTACTGTATGGGCTGCCAGCCACTGCCTCACCTCTGAGGAGAGAAGAGAGTAGAAACGACCTGTAGACCTAATTTTTGCTCTTTTTTTTTTTTTAGGTTACTGGATTTTTTTTCAAAACAGGTGAATAAAAGTTATTTGCTTAGTGTATTGTAAATTCTTGCCTCCCCATTGCAAAAATGGGTTTTTCCAAATGTATGAAAATCTTCCCCCCCCCCCCCGCATGAGTGTACTCATTTTATGGCCAACTAGTTGCATTGTTGAAAAAATAGTGACTTACATGCACAGGATTAGGCTATCTATGAGAACTATTAACTTAGAATGCAGACTTTTTTATTGTTCTTTTCCCTTCTTCCTATCTCTTCTCTTCCAATCTAGTCCATAGTTTAGTCATTCTGAAAACATTCTGAGAACTTACCAGTACATGCTTACCCTGCATTTCTTAGCTTATCCGTGGTTTAGTGTGTGGTGTTCCTGCCTATGGCAGGTGATCTTAAGGTCCTTTCCAACCCTAACTGTTCTATGATTCTATGACAGTATAATTCCTATTGATTTTAATGGCACAGGCTCAGGTTTTGTTGGTGAAAAGGCAGGTGGGAAATAGTGGTGGAATGTGACTTTGCTCCTCTTAGGGTTGTCTGTTATTGGAGAAGCTCTGGTCTTGGTGAATTTTTTAGCCTTGGCTGGGGAGGAGGGATGTCCTCAGCTTGGCTGCTTTTCTCCGCTTCTCTGGGAGAGGAGAGGTTAACTGGAGTCATGGCAGGGGTCATGCTGAGCTCTTGTCTCACATGGCTATATAGGGAAGAAGTGCTTGATTATGTTTTCAAAGAAAGCAGGAGCAGCCACAGGGAAGTTTTAGAAGCTCAAGGCTTATGCTTGTGTGCACACAACAAACATGCTGCTGGGAGACTTGGCAAGATTAGTTGTTTTAACAGTAAGCTGGAGACGGCTATTAGGAGTTCAAAAATCAGGTGACTGGCCTATAGAATACTCGTGTAAAAGGAAATACATAAATTTCCACGTCATATGCATCATGTTCTCTGCCCTATGGTAGATGCCTGTCAGCTTGCACAGGCAGCACGGTATTCTGCTACGTTAGGACTGTACTGTTGTAATGTGCTGCTTAGTATGGCTTAAAGGAGGGTTTAGATTGAGAAAGGCTTGGGCATTCCCAGCCTGGGAGTACTGCTGCATTTTTCCAGTGCAGATGGCACTGAGGATTAAAACATCAGCTTCTCCTTCTAACGTTGTTAATATACTTTGTGACTCCAGGCACATGCCTCAGTTTCCTGACTTGTGAAATAGCTATATTAGTGATTGCACTCCTCCATACCTGAGTACTTACCCAAGAAGCCAAATATTTTAAACTAGCTCCTCTTTGTTACGGTAGTGGGGAGCCTGGAAGCTTACTTTCAGGTAGGAATTTGTTGGTCAATCAAAACCTGTTGATATTTAGCCATGGAGCTAATAGTGTAATAGAGCTAATGGGAAGGACAGCAGATGACTTTCTATTTCCAGAGAAGTTAAACATTTACTGTTCTTTGGAACCGTGGGACAAGTGTTCAGTGGGAGGGAGGTAGACCGTATCGCACTCTGCAAGACAGTCTGCTAGCTATCCTCTGTTTGTGTGGTTTAGAACATGGTTTTTCCATTTCTCTGTCAATTTTTTCTTATTGGAGAACAGTTTAAAAACACAGGCATCTCGTGGACCTGGGATTTAAGCATTCTTTTAATAATAAAAGATAACAATACACAAATATAGTGTATAGATTCCTTATCAATCACTTGATCCATGAAGTGTTGCAACACTTTGCAATGTTATATCCAAGTGCCTATATAAATTATGAGTAATAAAACTTTTATATCATTCATGCTTTTCAGAAGGCATCAGAGAATCAGATATGGTGGGAGAGAGCTCCTACACTTAATATGAGTTATTGCAATGCTGCATGTTACGAACTTAGGAAGTTTCAAGCTTGTATTCAATGAAAGTTAAGGTATATATTTAAATTCTAATGGGATACCATGCATCACTATACATCAAACACATACCAATAGCAAAAAAATATTTAAAGTTTTCCATTGTAGCAGTCACATGAACATAAGACTTTTTCTATAATGTTATGATTCAAGCCCAGTTGAAAAATACCACTGACCTTCTCTTCACAAATGTTTTTATGGCCCGTATCTTTATTAGTGATTATTTGTTGGTAGTTCTGTACTTCATTACACAAATCACAGGTTTGTGATTTGTACAGGCCTGTTGTACCTACAGTAGAGCATTCTTTGCAAAAGTGTATGCGTGTGTGTTAGAGGAAGGGGGGTTGTAGCTGGTTACTGCACAAGTGCTCTTTTTTTTTTTTTTCTATTTATTAAAAAGGCTGCAAAGGGAACCAATTTAAAAAAAAACCCAACCTATAAGTTTTAAAATGATACATTGCATGATGCATTAAATCCCTTTTTTGATCTACTTTCTTCACAGGATTAAGTTTGGCAACTATTTTTTGGAATGGTGGAAAACATACAGTAACAGATTGAGAGTTCTCTGTCAGTCACTCATGGTGTGTGAGACAGCATGCTACTGTGAGACAGAGAATCTCTTGTGCAGCGTGTAGTAAAGTACACTACAGTTCTAATTATATGTTGTGAACAACTTAAGAAAAGAAACATTCTCCAAGTCATAAAATAGAATCTTTGATTTTATTTGAATTTACAAAAGTCCCTTTTCTTATAATAATGCAAAATGGTTTATAGCCGTATTAGTCTGAAGTTACTTTGGGGCTTCTTTACTAACTGTGTTGATATCCACTGTAAATTTTGAAGTGGTTTGTCTCTGTCAGACTGGAACTAAAGCTAGCTAAAGGCCTTGCTATCATCAAAAGAACTTTCATTATTAATGTGATTCAGTTAATTACAACTCAATTTACTATTTCAACCATACAAGCTGCATTTTTTTTTCTGTGAATAAAAAAAAACCCATGCGTTGTTCACAAGTAATTCTGAAATAGGAGCAAAACAGTAACATCCTTTATGCATCCCACATCTTTGAAAAGCTAACAAAGGAAAAAGAACCCCTGATCTAACGTATGGCAGTGATGAATGACACTGTTCAGTCAGTGACTTGAACAACTTGACAACACCAACCCTAACCTGTGATTTCTCCCTAACAGTCCCCGAGTGTTACTCAGAATTTAAAAAAATACACATATGCTGGAAAAATACTAAGTGAGCACTTACTAAAACATCAAAGTACTTTTGGCCAAGAGGATTTATCTGTGCAAACACCTAAGAGATGGAGAGAGTATCAGGGAAGTAGATCTGATTAGTCATACCCAGTGGGAGAGGGGACTGCAGCTGTGAAGTATTCTGTCCTAAACTTAGAAGTGGACAGCTCAATTGTATTTAACTGCTCCTGACTAATATATTCAGACAGTGCAAACTCTCACACTCTTTGAAAGACAAGGGTGGATACCAGAACATGCTTAATTGCAAACACTTTGTAGATCTGCAGCTGTGGTCAGAGGACATTTAAATGCTGACCCTCGCTCTCAGAGGTAAGCTCGCACAGGATTACTCCTGTGCTGCCATTCTCCAGCCGCACTTTGGGTGTGAAGGAAGTTTCTGGGCTAAGATGATTTCTAAGAAGTTTCCTTGAGAGCTTCTGGAATGCTATTTTTATTTGTTTATTTATT